GACTAGATGGATGGTCGTTGAAAGCTGTGAGCCACGCCACTACACTTGAAGCTTGCCCAAATAAACTAGAGTTGTGATGCTCAACCTCTTGGGCTGCCATGAATATTCATAAGTATTTGCTTCTGTGTTAGTCATGCTTTGAGACTTTAATCTTCACCACCGAGAAGTATCTTTCTGCATCTACAAACCTCCCAAGATTACCTGGTAGAGTAAGCCATCTGCTTATGGCAGGCTGATGGCAAAGTCAAAGGGAAGAGATGATTGTTTATTATTATTTATTGTTTATTCCCAAGGAAGTTTCCAGATGGCGAGTCTGAGTATTTTGTTATCTAACTAGCAAGTTTTCTTCCTTCTAAACAATTAGACTTTCTCATACATTCATTTATGCCTATTTGTTTGTATCTAGTTCACTGACTCAGGTGAACCGTAGCGTAGCCTGTCCCTTACAACACCACTCTAGAAAACCTAAGCATGACAGACACAACCACTCCTCCTTGCATTTCAAGGGGCAAAGTCCCCGGGCTTGCTTTTCACAATTTTAATCACCTCTGACATTTCTTTCTTTCTTTCTTTTTTTTTTTTACTTTTCTTAGTCCTATACATCTTAAAAAATTATCTATTTTTATTTAACGTGCATTGGTGTTTTGTCTGCATGTATGTCTGTATGAGGATGTTGGATCCCCTGGAACTAGAGTTACAGACAGTTGTGAGCTGCCATGTGAATGCTGGGAATTAAACCTGGGTCCTCTGGAAGAGCAGCCAGTGCTCTTAGCCACTGAGCCATCTCTCCAGCCCCTATACATTGTTTTTAAAAGTGTGGGCCAGAATTGGACTCAATGATTTTTAAACCAAACACACACACACACAAACATATCTGATACATATTATCTTTACATATACATACTATATATATATATATATATATATATATATATATTCTTTACAAAAAATTGATATCCATTTTTTGAGACAGGGTCTCATTATGTACATTATATGGCCCTGGTTAAAATGGAACTTGCAGTATAGACCAGGTTGGCCTCCAGCTTACTGAGATCCAGCATACACCACTATGCTTGGCTTAATATGCGTATGTTTTTATTAAGATTTATTTTCATTTTATATGTATGAGAGTTTTGCCTGCATGTGTCCATGTGTACCACGTGGTGCATGGTTCTTCCAGGGGTCATAAGCAAGCATCAGATCCCCCGAAACTGGAGTTTCAGACAGTTAAAGGCACCATGTTGGTGCTGGCACCCAATCCTAGGTCCTCTGCAAGAACAGCAAGTGCTCTTAACAGTTGAGCCATCTCTCAAGACCCTAATATACATATTTTAAAAAATTATTACTATTGCCAGGTGGTGGTGGTGAACACCTTTAGTCCCAGCACTCCAGAGGCAGACGCAGGCAGATTCTCTGTGAGTTTGAGGCCAGACTGGTCTACAGAGAAAGTTCCAGGACAGCCAAGGCAACATAGAAAAAAAACATTATTTTTGAGACAGTGTTTTTCTGTGTAGCCCTGACTGGCCTGAAAATCACTCTGTAGACCAGGCTGGCTTCAAACTCAGAGACTCGCCTATCTCTGCCTCCTGAGTGCTGGGATTAAGGGCGTGTGCCACTACTTCCGGCTTTAAAATTATTTTTATTTGATGTATATGGGTGTTTTGCGAGTGTGTAAGTGTGCATCACATTTCTATAGTGCTTGTGGAGGCCAGGAAAAGGCATCAGATGCCCTAGAACTGGGATTTACAGCCAGTTGTGGGTCACCATGTGTACGGTGGGAACTGAATCCTCTGTAAGATCAACAAGTGCTTTTAATTAAGAAACCATCTCTCCAACTCCTTATTATCTGTATTTTTTAATTAATAATAGTTGAAACTTATTCATTTTAAGTTTTTCTTTTTAAGTCCTTGGTATGGTGCAGAAATCATATCGACCATATGTTGGATCGTTGTACTGGCTGGTCTTGTGTGTCAACTTGACACAAGTTAGAGTCATCAGAGGAAGGAGCCTTAGTCGAGGAAGTACCTGCTTGAGATTCAGCTCGAAGGCACTTTCTCATTAAGGGATCAGTGAGGGAGGGACCAGCCAATGGTGGGTGATGCAATCCCTGGGCTGATGGTCCTGGGTTCTATAAGAAGGCAGGCTGAGCAAGCCATGGGAAGTTAGCCAGTAAAAAGCACCCTTCCATGACCTCTGCATCAGTTCCTGCCTCCAGGTTCCTGCTCTGTTAGAGTCCTGCCCGGACTTCCTTCAATGATGGGTGGCAATATGGAAGAGTAAGTCAAGTAAACTCTCCTCCCCGCCACAACTTGCTTTTGGTCATAGTGTTAGGTCACAGCAATAGAAACCCCAACTAAGACAATCATGTTACCTGTACCTTAAAAGTCAATTTTAAAAATGTATGTTTTAGCTGGGTGGTGGTGGTGCATGCCTTTAATCCCAGCACTTTGGAGGCAGAAGCAAGTGAGTTTGAGGCTAGTCTAGTCTACAGAGAGAGAGAGAGTTCCAGGATAGGCCCCAAAGCTACACAGAGAAACCCTGTCTCAACAAACAAACAAACAAACAAAACAAAACAAAAAACCAAAACAATCCCCCTTCCAAAAACAAGTATGCTTTAAGAATTAAAGATCTTTTGCAGCAAAATGTACCATGAACTAATGGAAATTCACTATGGACCAGCAGCTGAGAACAACCCTGAAAGGACTAATGCCCAGCATTGAAGAAAGGTTACCTCTCAACCCTAGACATCAAACCGTCCCTGATGCTAGGTCACAGTCCTTGCCTGGTACTGAAGGCCCACACTACACTGTTTTCCTTGCACTCCCCTGCAAGGCTGCTCCTTTTCAGCTTGTGGTCTGCAGCATCCTCCAGCTCTGTTCTGCTGTCTTGTGTCCTCATTTCTCTCTACCTCCATCTGAAATGAACCTTATGGCATTTACTTGCTATTGAATGCCTTCCTATATTTACAGAACATTGTTCTTGGAGACTTTTGATAGTCTCCATAACAAGACAGTAAAAGACAGTATTTCCATGACTTAGAATATTTTATTATCCCATCTAGTTAGCATTCAGCTGGATATTTGATGAAATTCTTCTTAATATTTTCATCTAAAACTAAGTATTTTGAATAAAGTCTGTATGGGTAATACTCAGGACAGGCAGAATATCTGGGACAGAAGTAAGGAATTAGCAGTTTTTATTAGGGATTTGAATGTTGTCACCTACTACCCAAAGGGCACTGTGGTTCTAAAATCTAAAGGTTCTTTCTCTTCCAAAGTGAACCCTCACTATACTCACTATAGAAATTCTTCTCCTCGTGTGTGACTGTGTACATGTGCTATCTGGGGTGGAAGGGGCCACGACCATGGAGGAGTGTGAGGCTCCTGAGTCAACACTTTAATACACATCTTTTGTATGTAGGATGCATTAACGTTACTCATCAATTACCACTCTGTGGTTCATATGATGCATTTATTTTATAGCTTCATATATTTACAATTGTCATTATTCAACAGTTGACATGAGTCCTTAGTGAACTTATATTTTAAACATTTTTATAAAAAAATCACCAATATGATCGAGTCCTTCAACCACGTTTCCTGTCTCCTAACCCCTCCCCTTAAAGATGTGTATGACAGGTATAAGATATGAAGAAATTTTACTAAGAACTCTGATAGTGCAGCTATATAGTTTCAAAGTCTATTCCAGTGAGCAAAGAGAGTTCTAAAGAAGACACATTGGTTAAGGGCCAGGCAATCAAGCTTGTAGGAACTGAATCATGAGAAATACCATGACGATAAAAAGGAGAGCCCATGGGTACAGGAAGTGGAAAGAAAGACCAACTGGAGTTCTGGTTTGAGAAAGGACAGTTAAAGCTCTACGTTCATTAGAAAGCGGGGTGGGGGCGCTAAAGGGCTGAAGATGGTGAGAGTCTTTGGAATAATTGAGACTGAACCAGAACCAGGTATAGCTGAGTCCCCAGGAGCAGAGGGAGAGGCACACATGAGTTTCTAGGTCAGGGTATCACTGCCTGAACTCAGAAAGGACAACTCATGAGGACTATGCAACACGTCTTACCATCGCTCGAAGTATTCAAGACTCAGGGGTCTCCTGAGCATGCAAGATAAGCCACTAAGTAGTCCAGCTACTGGAGAGCTCACCCTGGTGGTAATGGCGATGGGGTTGGCTGAGGGGTGAGGAGCTGGCCGGATGGCCAACCCTGCAACTCCCCAGGCTCAGAACCAGGGGTATGGTTTGACCCACCCCGATATCCGCCCCATCTGTGGCTGACTGTGATCTGCTGGAGCACGTGTCGGAACTGGTTCTGCAGATCCAAAGCTACAGGATCTCCATGATACAGGGCAACAACAAGATATCCAAGAGGAGGCCCAGTGAGGGCTCAGTATCCACAGTGCAGCAGAACCCAGAGGCCTCAAACCAGACCAACGACTCTTTACAATGAACATGCGCAAGTAAAGATACATGGACAACAAATAAAAAAAAAAAACATCCAGCTCAAAAGATTGGGGCAAAGAAGCTACTGGTATCTGGGTAATATGACTCATAGGTCGTATTGTCTCATAGGTCTCACTCCTGCCTGGTCACTGGAGCACGGGGAAGAGAGCTCCTCCAGGAAGGATACAGGGGATCTGCCACTGACAAAAATGTTCCCCGATGTGAGGTCAACACAAATGACAGGTCAACAGAGCGCTCCCTGGTCTACTCGGCACCTCACCAGTATATGAGCAAAGGTGGTCAGAAGAGAGACTTGACCCAGCAAGTCTTCACGGCAGCATTCTGTATTGAGAATCCTAAAATAAGTTCCAAAGCTGCCTCCTGTTTTCCTGGCGTGGGAAAAGAGCCGGGGAAAGGAGCTTTTTATACAGTTTAGGACGAAAGGTGTATAACAATAAAATAACACAGTGTGTGTAACAGTGGCATAAATCCCAGGAGCCCCCTCAAGCCTGGGAACCATACTAAAGGATTTATGTCTTAGTTTATTGATCCAGTAATTTTATTCATTAACATTTGATTTCTCAATAATAGGACTTATTGGAATTTGGGGAGAATTCTTCTGTGGTATTAAGTAATACTGGCATTGAGTTGGCGCAGTATGCTGACCACCAGTGAATTGTCATAAACCCACATTTCATTTCAAGGAAAAACAAAAATTAGAAAATGTTGTTCGCTAAATTGGCAAGCATTCATCTTATAAGTATCTTCAGAGATTTAGAAATGTTACTATAAATTCTCTAAAAATCATCCCTTAATGCATATTTTTATTCAGTGAATGCAGACCAGGGAACTGGAGAGCAGAGAGCCCTAAGTAGGTCTGTGATCTTGAGCTCCGTAGGGATGTCTGTCTAAAACTGAAGAAGAAAAAGTTTGCTTTTTAAATGATTCCATAGCAGAACCTGCCAGGCTAGGACTTCTACACAACTTAGAATAACCACTATTTAGCCCATTTGTAGCTTTCTGGGCTGAAGTGTGTACACAGGTCCTAGAATATCTCTAACATTATTATGTCGTTCTGTTAAAGACATAGCATGCAAAAGTTCAATGTCATCTCAAAAATACATGTAGTATGCCCAGTAAAATACATTGGCTAGCATAAAAATCAAAGGAAATACTAGTTTGGAATATCGATCCACGTTGCTGGGATTTTGAATGGTGAAATAGTCAATAATTCTGCCAATCTTTTCTCGGAAGACAAACTTGAACTTGTCACTGGCTCTCATTGTCAAGTCACTGTAGTTGACGTTGTCACCAGAGATTTCAATGCTGGCGAAGCTGATCTTCCGTCTAAAGCTGGAGATGGAGCTGTTGATGATGTTGGTGATATTGACATCTTCTGGTTCCTTTGCTGTCCCCTGGTTCATAGAAAATAAGTTAGCTTGGAAGACAGGGCACAGTAACGTCCACGGGTGATACTGTGAAGAGCAGGGTGCTGTGATGGTACCAGACCTGGGCTTAGATCTCAAATGACCGGTCTGTTACTACTGGAAACTTGTTATTTAAATCCCTTGTCTTGATTTCCTTGTCTGCAACACGGTAATGACAGTAATTGTTTCTTCACGAGACTAAGGGGAAGATTAAGTGCCATAAATTACTAGAGTAAAGCACCTAGTAGATATTTAGTAAAGTTCTAGTCTGTTCCGGGGAGAATAAATTAAGAAAACCCATTGTGTTGTGTGGTCTTTGCTATAAACATAGGAACAGAACTGTGCTCTCTGCAGATCCAGGGACTTTCCACTATCCAACAAGGTGCTGATGGCACAGAAAGTGGGGTCTTGGCTGAGTTGCTTCACCACTTGGAGGGCAAATTTCTCAGTAAATAAGATAAGGAGGAGGATGGCGCGATTTCACTGAGTTTTGGGGTACCCCGAGACATGTAGAGGACACAGCATACACTCCACAGTGCATCTCTCGTTGTGTGCATGGTGTGGAGGTGAGTACTGGAGTCTTCGGTAGAAGGCCTTGGGAATTCTCCAACCCTCGTCTATCATTTTTTTTATATTTATTTATTTATTTAGTATGTATACAATATTCTGTCTGTGTGTATGCCTGCAGGCCAGAAGAGGGCACCAGACCCCATTACAGATGGTTGTGAGCCACCATGTGGTTGCTGGGAATTGAACTCAGGACCTTTGGAAGAGCAGGCAATGCTCTTAACCTCTGAGCCATCTCTTCAGCCCCCCCTCGTCTATCATTCTAACAAATATGAATTTGTGTGTGTTATTAGAGAAGCCTTCATGGAAGAAAACACATGAAATTCATATTCTCCTCTGGCTGGCACACCATGCTCTTTTGACTTTAGTGCTTGGATTGACCACAACAACCAAACACAATGATGAAGGCACTGGCTCTTCTGGTTTCCCATCTCCTCACTATTAGGTCCCTGTGGTCTGACAGCACACCTCTTAGGGCAGCACTTCCTGAATCAGATCCTTATCATTTGTTTGTTTGAGCTTCAGTGTGCTAATGCCCATCAAATTTAGTTTTCAAATAACCTTGGGGTTCAATGGGGCTGTAAAGAGGACTGTGTGAAGGGAAAACAATGCATCACACTCGAGCAAAAATGTTTTAAGTTAGAATCCCAAAGATTTTGTTACAAGTTAATATTTTCTATACATTATTTTTGGATAAATTGTTACTTGTATAATTTAAGAATATAAAATTGCATCAAAATTAAGTAATAACCACAAATTAATCTGAACTGTGTGAACAGCTAAGCCTGTCTAGTTTGACATTGGCCTTTTTCTTAGATGCTTGTTCTTATGATTACACCTTCATGTTGCAGATGAACAATAGTTTTTTTTTTTTTGCTAGAAAATTCAATTTTGATATTCTGTTTTATCCGGTGAAAAGAACAGCACTGGCTAAGGGGCACCATGACTTCCAAGTATGCCCACCTTAGTAGGGGTACGATGCATTAGAACAAAGTGGATTACTCTGGGGATGGGAACCAAGCCCTGATCCCCTCTTCAGAGTGGGGCATGGCCCAGGTGACGGATGGTAGACAACCCCTCCAAATCCTTACCCTATCTTTGACTGCCATCTGCTGTAAGGAGCTGTAGTGAGCAACTGCATACTCCAGTAAGGCCCCAAACACGAAGCTGAAGCAGATCCCCAGGTACACATCAATGGCCTTGATGAAGCAGTTGGTGTTGGGTAGGGATGTGCGGGAGCCGATCATCAGTGTGGTCATGGACAACACGGTTGTCACTCCTGGGGGAACAAGCAGGAGCTGTTCCATGCGCTGTCCTCACCCACCCTATCACTCTCTATCATCTGGCTGGGTGACTCCATTCAGGAGGTCACAAGATAAGGACAGGACTCACAAACATACAGATCTATTTCAAAGAGGCTATGACCTTCTGGAATACGGTTGTTTTATTCATCTCCAACAGATGTAAGTGACATAGTTTTCTAAATAGGTCATCTTCTGTCTTCTTTTAGAGATGGACAGTGAGTAATAAAGTCATGGGCAGTGGACTGTTTACACAAGCTCACCTCATCTGTCACCATAAAACCAATTAAAAAAAAATACAGTCCTTCTGATGCTATCTTTCTCTCCGTCTCTGCACCCACTTCTCTCTCTGTGTGAAGGAATTTATCAAGATACCAACTCTTACAATAACCCTGCAAATATCAGTGAACACCTAGTTCTCAGAACTTGTCCAGGGGAGCTTCTTACCAATGCAGGTTCTCGCAGGAACCGAATCAAGAGAGATCCAAAACGAAACCCAGGATAACACCACCAGGAAGGTGGAAGGAACGTAGGTTTCCAGAATGAAATACAGGACGTTCCTCCGAAGCTCAAATTGCAAAACCAGTCGTGTATAGTTTCCTGAGAGTGCAAACATGAGGTAAGAAACTGTCTGCTCACACAGGAGAGGAGTTGCCCCATGAACCACAATCATGTTAAGCCTTCTGTTACATACTTTAGTCAGCTATGATCTGCACTCTGGTTACCACAGAGTTACCTCAGTGTTGCCTAGCATGGGATACACAGGGGTGCTCTTACCTAAGCCCCACACTCGTGTTTTCTTTTTATGCCTTCCTTTATCAAGGCATTGCTTCAGTGTTGTGACCACCAGTATTCTGAAACTCTAGCTCGCCAAACTGTGAACCACAAGGGGGCAAAATCTGTGTCTCTCAATCTTGCACTCACACAGTAAGCTGTTAATAAATACCCATCTAATAAAGATTGCTCAAGACAGCCCATTGTTTTCAAGATTACTGTAGAATAGGCCTATTTAATGTAATTTAATTTTTGTGTATATGCATGTGTGTGTGTGTGTGTGTGTGTGTGTGTGTGTGTATTTCTGTACTTGTGTGCAAATGTTTGTGGGGACCAGAGTGCAGTCTTAGAAGTGGTTGTTCAGGACTCATCTACCTTTTTGTTTGAGACAGGATTTCTTACTGGCTTGGAGCTTGCGAAGTAGGCTAGGTGCTGACCAAAGAGCCTCAGAGTTCCACTCTGTTTGCCTTTCTGGCACTGGAATTACAAGTGGCATGCCCCGATTTTTTTTTCTCCCGATGAGTTCTGGGGATTGAAGCCAAGTCCTCATGCTCACAAGATAAACATTTTATTGACTGAGTTATCCATTCAGGTTCAATAGTTTATTTATTGTTGATTTCAGAGGTATCACTTCAGGATCATGCTTAGGGAATTCCCCAAGCACACATGTTATCTATGGGGCATATCAACAAGAGAAAGCTGTCATCTTCTTTCTTTTTTCCTAGGTATACACTTAATATTTTAAAGTCATCCAGATTCAACTAAACTACATGAGAAGGTTTTAAAGAGTTTAAATTTTGATGAGATGAAGCATTCTTAACTTGGTCATAAGGAACTGAGAAGGAAATATCATTGTTTGTATGTAAAATCATGCCGTTTTGGAAATGTCTATTTAAGCCAGGCATGGTGGCACACACCTTTAGTCCCAACACTAAGAAGGCAGAGGTGGACAGATCTACATGAATTTGAGGCCAGCTTGTCTACAGAGCAAATTCCAGGTCAGCCAAGGCTATACAGAGAAACCCTATCTTGAAACACCAAAACCAAACCAACATAACAACAAAACCTTAAAACAGTTTAAAACCACCAGCTCCCAGAGATCTAGCTCTGTACATGACAATTGGATAATTTCATTAACAAGGTGATCATGTAGTATTGCTACTGTCTTCTTTACCTGTGAGCATCTTTTAAACTTCATTCTTCCACCACTGTGCTCACTAGAAACATGAGTGGCTTTTCGTGCACAAGAGAGTGCTGCATTTGAACAGTCATTAGCGAACCCCGGAAGGGACCAACTAAGATTCAGTGGTTGGCCCAGAGGGTTGCTTTCCAGCTGACCATGTCCACCTGAGTGCAGACTGCATAGAAGCCCAGGTTCTGTGCCTGTCTCCCTTCCCCTACTCCACACCACTACAGAATGCTTGCACTCCACGGGAGTAGAGGTGGAGGCCATGCTGCTTATGATTCAGGTTGCGACCTTTCCTTTAAGTATTTTTATTCTGTGGGATGGGTCACAAGAGTTACCTGTCTCCTGCTGGGATACGGTTACCAAGGTGAAATACTGTTGGATGGTGTACTGAGCAAGGCGCAGGCTTTCAAGCCCACGTACAGAATCGTTTCCTCTCAGCCAGGTGAACTCCACATCGTTGCCATCGTATCCCCCTGGCAAACGAAAGCGAGCCTTGGTCAGTGCAAGGATATTGCAGACGTAGCTGGTTTGGGAAATGCTACAGAGCGCAGCAAGGGCTCTATCCTGATGGTATTAAGCCTAAAGAGGTATGCCACGCAAAAGTTGGCTAGGTTTCTCAAGTGCAGCAGAATGAAATCTTTTGCTAGGACCAGGTTTGATTGGTTGAGAAGTAGTTCTATGCTAAGCATTGTCCAAGCCTGATAGATGATAAAAATGACTTTCTTCACTACTGAATGGCATTTCTTAAGTATGCTGCCACAAAGGGCCCCATGCCGGATTATGTTTTTCCAAGCAGTCTAAGCTTGGATGATGTTGTCTGAGATTTTGGAAGGGATCTATTCATATTTCTCATTGGTATAAATGCAAAAATAAAAAATCCTTTAACTAGCCTCTTTATGACTTTCTGTCAATATGTGCTTTTGATAAACCTTAGCTTTACTAATATCAGTTGAAGGTAGTGATAACAATGACCTTTTATGAACCTTTTATGTTGTCCTTTACACAACACATATCTCTAATGCTCTCATAGGCCTAGGAAGTAGACATCTCTGTGTTTCTTCGATTTTAAGGTTGACTTTTGTCTTTACATTTCTGAAATTGTGATGGATCTCACCATTGATTTACATAGGTGAAGTAGCATTTTCCCCTAAAATGTGCTTATTCACTAGATACTGTACCTTAGACTTGAGGAATTATTTGCCCATTATATGTGAAAACCCTGAGATTCTAAAGGGTTTCTTAACCATCTCAGGTTTTAGGTAAGCAAGAGACAAAAGTCTGCCCTGTGCCTCTCTCTGGAAAGTTTAATCTCAAAGCTTGTGAATGGTGTTGATAATAATGGAGCATCTATTACTTAGTAGGCAATTTCTAAGTGCCTTACAACATCATCTCCTCCAATCTTTTCAGAGACGATGTGTTCATAGTTAATAAGCCCAGGCAACAGACACAGTTTCATCAGTCACTAGGAAAATGCAAAGCAAAACCACACACTACTTCATACTTGTTAAGATAGTAATAATAAGGACGAGATGAGAAAAACAATAAAGATATTGACAAACTGGAACTTCACTGGTGGGAATGCTAATATACAACCACGTTTGGAACCAAAATGACTAACTAAAAATCTAAATAATAAATGTATCATTTGAATCAGAATTCTATGCCGAGGTATTTACTTAAGAGGAATGAAGCGCTAGTCACAGAAAGACTTGTATAGAAATACCCGCAGCAGCTTTATGTACAGTGGCCAGACGTGAAGCTAAACCAAAAGCCCATTAACCTTTCAGAAAAGCTGGAAAGAATAGTCCTGAACAATCAGAAGGAATGAAGTCCTGATAACATGCCACAGTGTTCTGTGGAAAAAGCCAGATGCAGAAGGGAACAGATCATATTGATCTTTCTTACATAAAATGTTCGGGAGAGACAAATTTACAGCGGCAGAAAGGAAGTTAGGGGCACCTGGGAGTTTGTGGCAGGAAACTGGGGTGATGACCATAAGCACAGGGGATCTCTTTGGGGGGAAGTGATGGGAATATTCCAACAATACAACCTGACAATGGCTACAAACACCATTGAAACACATACTTAAAAATGGATGAATTTTCTGGTTCATACACTATAGCTCAATAAACCCAACTTATAGAGAAGGCAGTTCATTGAGCCTGGTATGGTTACTTTTTCCATTTCAAGGGGTAGGAAACTGAGACTCAGAGAGGTTTGTTAGCCAAAGTCATCCAGATAGTGATGTTGCCACATGATTCCAGCCCCTGTGGGCATAATCTTCTCACTGCTTCAGAGGTTGCTGAGACTGTGGTGCTGATGTTAGGACCGATATTGTGCTATGAAGCATAATTATGGAAGCCAATATCTAGTAGGCTTCATCTTATGATTCCTGAGCTTCTTGAGCTTCAGATAACGCTGTGGGTGTTCCTTTGGAATCCTTCAAAAGTGAGTGGAAGTTGGCCATCGAAACTAGTAAAGAAGACATCTCTATGAAAATGAGGAGAGAAAGTTTCTACCTGGGTACTTGGTTTCAGCCCTAGTAGAGGCTGGCTCACAGTTTTTATTTGCTACTGTCCCCTGTCCCTGGGTGAATGTGGGTGATTAAGATAATATCAATTCCTTTTTAATGATATTTTAATTCATATTTGGAAAAAACCCAAACCTTAGTGAGGTTTTATTACCTGAATGCCTGCTAATAAGCATTCTGTGGAAGCTCCCTCTGCCCCTTGGGGATGGTGTCTGTGCATACAGAGTGCTGAAGTTTCTTGGCGAATCTTGCTCCTGGGATTTGGGATGAGCCCAGCCATGACACACGTAGGGCAATTATTTCTGTTGTGCTACACTCGAATTGCTTCTCTGTTTGATAACCCCAAGTTGCATTCTGCTACCAAACAGCTGCATTGCTTCAAGAAGGATTTGCATGCACTGAATCAATAGGATAATTAATCTGCTTAAGTCTGTAACTAAATGTGTACTTCTAAAAATGGCTTCTCCTCACAATGGTTCCTCTCTCCTGGCTTTGCCCACTTGTGCCCTTAAGTATAGAGTCCCCAGTGGTCCCCAAGGCTTGTCTATAGTTATTTTCCACTTTGATGCCATAATAACTCATATCTGTGGCATTATTTCCCTATCACAGGTGCTCAAATTTGGAGATGTTCAGAGATGCATACCAAGGAACAATGGGAGATTGTTTAACCATCCCAAGGAACTGATTTGACCTACATCCATTTAGAGCGAACCCTCATTTTCCATCCTAGGAAATTCCCAGGTTATAATTTAGATCCTCGGTTACCCACAGCACTATATGGAGCTTTCCGTATACCAAATAAGATCCTTTATGTGTTGGAGGCAGCTGCATCATAAACAGCAGTGAGCGATTTGAGTATCCAAGGCCTTTCCCATGCTGGGCAAGCATTGTGTACTCCCCACCCACCACACGCCCCCCCCCATTGCTCCTTACTAACCTTTAACCTTTGCTCTGTTCCTTCTTGTTTCTGTGGTACTGTGCCCTGCTTTTTTTTGTCCACTTAGCCAATTGGAACTGGTCCCTCCGATGATTTCAGGCGGCAATTCCCTCTGGACACCCCTGACGCCCTAACAGGCTTTCATGGTGCCAATACTTTTTATTGCTTGTCTTTTATTCTTTCATAATTGTTTTAAGTCCTGTGCTCTCTGTCAGGTGGGACACCTCTTGAAGACTGGCAAATCGTTTTATTTTTGCAGTGCAAACATTTGCCACAGCGTCTAACAGAACAGGCTTGTAGTTGTTGAATGGGTGAACTGACGGAGGGGTAGGCAGATGGAACCCAACCAGCCAGCCAGACTAGCTGGAGGCTTTGGGGGGAAAATATGTAGAACTGAAGTATTAGACTAAGTCAAAATATTTTCCTTAAGACGCAGGGGAAAGGAAAAACACTGGCCTTGCTCCTAAGTAACCGAAAGGAGCTGGCATGAAAGAAGCTTCACACTGCCGCCTGATAGTCGTGCTGGATTTCGGCTTAACATTTGGCAGGATTTGGGAATCCCACAAGTATGATGTGGTCTCTCGGTTTGGGGGAAAGTGGTGAATATCAGTTGGTGCTAGAGAATCTAGAAATCCCATACACTTGCTTAAAACCTTATTATAGTATGCTAGGGAGAAATGGATAGCCCAGACCACATACAAGCAAGCCACTTGGGGGGAAATCTTCATGGGCCTCCTGGCCAGTGAAAGAGCTCTTGGAACTGTTGGCCCCTCTTCCTGGGTTCCAGTCCCACTGCTCCTGCTTCCCAGGTCCCTTTAGAAAAATGCTAAATTGTAATGAACCTCAATTTCTATCATCGTAAGGTGGGGAGAACAACATTTATGGGTTGTTTGGAAGGTCTCTGAGAGTGTGGTACATGGATGCAACACTATTTATTAGAAAAGAGCTCTACTATTAATTATTATTTTCATGGTTGTCAGTGGAAAAATGGTTTGGGCAAGGTGACCACGGCAAAGGCAGATTGAGATCATATTGTTCACTGCCCCTCCTATAGTCATTTTCCAACAAGCTTCCCTCCTTCCTCTGTAGTTGCATAGCAAGGTTTGGCTAGAAGCCAGTGCATTTCTATTAGGAAAAGAAAAAGAAACCTTTTGAGGACTTCTGGGCTTCAGAGGGTAGCCTGAGGCATGTTTAGTAACAAATGGAAGTGGGGTTGATCAAGCCCAGGCTGTTTGCATCTGGGGTTGATTTGGTTTTGGTAGAGCAAGAGTGGATGGGTGGATAAAGGTCATAGCCATAGAAAGGTTACCAAGAGCTCACCTGGTATCACAGACCCCTGAGAATGAGGAGCCCAAGAGCCGGCATAAAGAAAATACGTTAAGTTCTAAGAATCAGGAGCTAGCTTACGTCTACTTTCGTCAAGATGTTTTCTATAAACCAGAAATACTCATGAAACAAGATTCCATGGTTATATAAGTCTGGGAAAGGATACCCTCCTTGGAATTTATGGAATCAGCTCTTGGAGGCCCCGAAAAGTTTGTAGCAATGGAGAACGTTATTATTTTAGGCTGTGTGGACAATACAGTCTCGATCATAAATACTCCATCCTGTTATTACAGTGTAACCATAGACAATCTGCAAGTGAGTGGCCGTCACTCTGCTATAACATCACTGCTTCCAGAAACGGATGATGGGCCAGACTTGGCAGATAAATGTGGTTTGCTGGCCATAGTCTAGACATCATCTGTGTTAAAGTATTTTCTTCAGCCATCTCTCTGCGCATGGGTGAAGGTATTTGGTGCTAATGTAGAATGGTTCTTCCCCCAAAATACAATGTTACACAGTTTGCCCTTGAGAAGCAGCTGAATCTATCTGGAAGTTAGGCTGAATAGCTCAACCCATTGTGGATCTATTGTGGATCAACATAAAGGAAGAAGGGTCCAAGGACATGGGGTACTCTGCAAAAAAAGATGGAGGTCTTCCAGAAAAGTCACCGGGGCCCCTGAAGATGTGTACTCACAGCTCTCGAGCTGCAGCTTGCAGGTCTGTGTGTCCATGGGGTATTTGGACAGGTCCATGTTACATGTAACAGTTGTCGTGATCCTAAAAAGAAAAGGCGGGGGGCGGTGGGAGAAAAGAAATGGACTCAGAAAGAGTGCTGTGAGGAAGAGATGGCATTTCTTCCCGAGGACTGCTCCAAGAGGACTTTTTCTCAGACTCTTATGGGTACGTGTGGCTTGTAGCCTCCACCCAAGCATTCCTGAGGTTTTCTGGGCTCAGTGACACTCATCAGACCCAGTTAAAGCTGGATCCAGTTGGAAGAAACTGGAATGCTGGCACCTCAGAGGCAAACATCCACATTATTACAGAACAGACGCATTCTCCAGTGTGTTGAAGACTTCTTAGAAACATATTTTAAACTTCATTCAACTTCTTTTAAGTGTTTAAGGGCATTGGGTCCTTTGGAACTGGAGTCAGGAATGGTTGTGAGTCACCATTTGGGTGCTGGGAACCAAACCCAGGTCCTCTGCAAGAGCAGCAAGTGCTCTTAAGAGCTGAGTCATCTCTCCAGCCTCTGGAGATGCTTTTTAAAAATTATAATTCATTTTTCATGCAATTTATTTTGATCATATTCTTTCCTTTACCCCAACTGTTCCCAGACAATCCTTACTTCCTACCCACTCAACTTCACGTTCTCTCTCTCAAAAAAAATCTCACAAATAAACAAATGCCCAAATCCCAAACCAAAATAACAATAGCAAAGCATGCAGAACAAAACAAAACAAAAACCCATGGAACCTGTTTTGTATGGGCCAGCTATTCCTGAATATGGCTGATATAATGTCACTTCATTTAGAGAAAAGTGATTTTCCCCCCTCCAGCAGCTATCAATCACAAACAGCACCCTGGTTAGGGGTGGGACTTTGTGCCCACTTCCTCTTTCTGGAGATGCTTTTGCACTTAGGTTTTCAGTGACCACCCCTTGTAGGCCTGGAACAGTGATCCCTGGACTTGCTTAGGTTCACAAGGCCCTGAGCGGCACAGTTGGTACAGGTGTCCTGGGCTCAGGATGTAGAGAACGCAGAGGGTACCAGGTACTACAACTCACACAGCTCTTGGGTTCACCCAAGGATGCTCAACAAGACATCAGTGAAGTCCTCACAGTAAAGATTTTAAAAGCCAGGCCTTTATCTTTCTTTCTTACATTCACACATTTTTTACTACGTCCTTCATTTATGAAGTACAGTGCTGGGTACACCTAGGAGGGAGATGTGTTTGTTCATGGCATAGTGTCCAACTTAACAGAGCTTTACATCTCCTTAAGGGAGACAGAGAAAAACAACCACTGGTTGCTGGTTGCTTACTGCAAATCAGTTTCTGCGCTAAGGATGTCACATACATTAACCCTTTGAATAGCTCTGTGATATAAGAACTTCTACTATTTTTATTTTGTTTTTGAGGAAACTGAGGCTCAGAGGGTCTAGTAACTTGCTCAAGTTCACAGAACTGTTTAGGACAAGAGTCTAGTAGCAGATGGTGGTGATGGCTCACCCCTTTAATCCCAGCACCTGGGAGGCAGAAGCAGGTGGATCTCTGTGAGTTTGAGGCCAGCCTGGTCTACAGATAGAGTTCCAGGACAGCCAGGGCTGTCATACAATAGAGTGTATGAAAAAAAAAATGAATTAGAATGAACACAGAGAAGCCCTGTCTTGAAAAGCAAAACAAAACAATAATAAAAAGGAGCTTAGTGGCAAATTATTCATAAACTATGATTCATTGGTAATTCTTACATTCTTACCCCGGCTGATGGCACTGCATGCTGTAACACAGAATAGATGCACACCCCCAGGTACACAAGTGTACATGAACACACCTGTGTGAACAGGTTCCCATGGAAGCATGGAAATATGCAGAATGGGAATCAACGGAGAGTTAGATTTCTTAAAAGAGGAGTTAGGATTTGTACTGGTCTCAGTAAAACTTAGTGTTGCAGAGGCATGCCCAGAAATGCAATTTATTGGTTGGTTCAGTTCTTGCTTTATAACTTCAGGCCTTTCTTATGATGAAAGGTTAGTCTAATCATATTTACTAGTTGATCTGGGAGTTGATCTTGGACTCAGGGAGTCCAAGTGTGCACAGCCCTTACACAGGAAAAAAAAAAAACCTCTGTGTAGGCTGCCTCATGCAGCACTCAGGGAGCTCAAGTGTGCACAGCCCTTGCACAGGGTAAACCTCCATGTAGGCTGCCTTACCCAGCACTCAGGAATCTCCCTTCCTTTCCAATCACTGAGAGGACTGCATGAAACAGAAGGAACTTTAGGCCCTGGCAATTTGGGGTGGTGGCTTGTAGCTGCAGGTAGTCTTTGGGACACATGCCTTGCCTGTTTGTAGAAACATGTCTCAGACAAGCAGAGATGTAGAGATAGCCCTGCTCCACTGAGCCCCGTGAAAGACAAATTCCTTACATAGATCTTTGTTTGTTCATGTCTTTACTCTTCCTTGTCCTCCTTTCCTCCTCTTCTCCTTCTTCCCCCCCCCGTGTTTGTGTGTGTGTGCGTGTGTGGTATGTGTGTTTGTGTGCATGCCAGGTGTCCTTGCCCATCTGATTAGTGTGGAGACCAGGGGCTAGTATTGGGATACCTTCCTCGGTGACTTTTCCACCTTATTTATTTGTCTATATGTATCTGTCTATTTGTTTGTGTTTATATTCACATGTGTGGGTACACATGTGTGAGGGTGTGCAGGCACCTGTATGTGCTGTGTACATATAAAGGCCAGAGGTGGAGCGACTTCTTCAATCACTCTCCACCTTAAACATTGAGGTGGGGGTCTCTTAGTGAACCTGGTCTTCATGGGTTTGGGTAGTGTAGCCAGACATCTTTCCCTGGAGATCTCCATCTCTCAAAGGCCAAATGCACAGGCAGGCTGCCATGCCCTCCCTGCATTAGTGAGTGGTAGGGCTTAGAACTCTAATCTTTACACCTGGGCAGCAAGCCTTTTCTTCAGGAAGCCATTGGACCTCATCCTATTAGTCTTTTCTTTTGAGACTTGGTCTCTCATTGAACCTGGGAGCTTGCAGCTTAGGGCCAGACTGGGTGCTTAGTAAGTCCCAAGATCTGCCTGTCTCTATTGGTCATCATTGGGGTTTTAGGTGCAAGCCACTCGGCTCAGTTTTTATACCGACACTGGGGTTCAGATCTCAGGTCCCCATGCTATCTCTCTACTGCCTTTTCTTCTTTGTCTGCTAACTTTTCTCACTCTTAAAGGCCCTGTTCATAACCCTATGAAAGCATATTCTATCACCACCCCTAACCATTAACCTACACCCCAGCTTGGGTCCTGGCACCCAATACTTCTTCTGTTTACACCCTGTACTCTCAGGAGCGGGTCTATCTTACTCAGTTTTTCTTAGCATGCTGCGTGAGACCTGGCATGCAGCAGTTGCTCAGAAGATGTGACGAGTACCAGGCTATACTGAGAGAAGCCCTTCTGAATGGTTGTGGGGTTTAAAACAGAGGAATTTGTGATGAATAGGGGCTCAGACTGACCCTTTAGTACTGGTCCGAAGTACCCAGGATATATGTGTCTTTTCCTCCAACCCCAGGGTCCCAGATGGTTGCTCACCTGAGTGCATACAGGACCGTGCCATTGGAGAAGAGGCGGATGAGCCTGTTTCCCACCGTGACTTCATGAAGGAAGGACTTCTTGGACTCCACAATGTAAGTGTCCGGTACCCAGAGGAACTCCACAAGTCGGGCATCTAGAGTGAAGCTCTTGTTGCCTTCGAACACCAGCCGTGGGTCTGTCCAGCGCTGCCGTAGGTATATGGTGGCTGTGTAGTCCTAAGAGGAAAGCCAGACATGGAAATGATAGGCAGGAGAGAAGCAGGAAGGAAGACCCCCCCCAAAAAAAACAGAAGAAAGGGTGTTAAGTTTTACTCCCTTCTCTCACTTATATGATAGTATGTATGTATGTATGTATGTATGTATGTATGTATGTATGTGTGTGTGTGTATTTAGATTATTGGTATGGTACTTATCCTCAGCAATGAAAGAACCAAGTGCATTATGTATTTTAGATAATAACTCCTACTGCCAAAGCCCACTTTCAGGGCTTTGACCTAATTGACATAAAAGATCACACTGCCTAAGAACACAGTTGCCTTGAACTGATGAAGGTTTTGTTGGGCAAAATGCCTGGGTTACCCGGGATTTACCCATCATGCCTTGAGGGCCCTCTTGGAAAACTGCCTTCCTCCTGGCTTCATCTTTCTGGTCCTCTCAAGGTGGCCATTAGATCATTGGTTTTCAGCAGTCGTCCTTTCTCTGAAAGACCATGTGAAGGCCAGGTCTCTGAACCATGTTTTCTCTTCTGTTCCTCAATTTTTCTTTCTCAGTAAATGCATTCACTTCTTTTTCTATTTTCTCTCTTTCTAGCCTTTGAGTCTGTTTCCTTCCTGATACCCAGAATACCCATGGTAGAAACGTCTTCTGCTGTCTCCACTTAGGAGTCAGAACTCTGGCATCTGCCACTCTGTTTCTGAGCAATTTGATAGATAGGACATCATCATTGAAAGCAAGGAGAGGGCCCATGGTGGGACGCCACTGGGTAACAATTACCATGTTACTCTCTGAAATGCTAGAGATGCTTGCGATGTCCAGAGTCAATGCTATCCGAACTGGGTCACCTGAGAATGAAGAAAAACCAGAGAGACTTACATAGAAACATAAACACAAATCCCCCTTTCAACCACCCGTTTCCACCCCCTGCCCTACTTCGTAGGTTGGAAACAAAACTATTAAAAATTATAAAAGCAATATTCATGTATTAGAAATATTTAAATAATCTGAACTATAAAAATAAGAAAATTAATTTTATCTTCCCAGGAGCAACCATTCAGTATGAAAAATATACACGAATACACAGGGACATCATGATTCATAAGAGAGGCCACACGGTTATTAATTAATGGGTATTTAAAAATATTTTAAGATTAATTTACTTATTTTGGTGTGTGTGAGAAAGAGAGAAAGAGAGAGAGAGAGAGAGCCCGGGAGAGAGAGGGAGAGAGAGAGAAAGAGAGAGAGGAAGGGAGAGAGGAAGAGAGAGAGAAAGAGAGAGAGGGAGGGAGAGAGGGAGGGGGAGACGTGTGCCACCCACTCTGTGGGAATTGGTGCTCATCTCTGCTTTTAAGGCTGTCTGGTCTGAGGGTTCCTACGCATTCGTCTACCTCCACCTCCCATCTTGCCATAGAAATGCTAGGATTACAGGTGGGTGTCACTAGATCCAGCTTTTATGTTGAGTCAAGGAACAGAACTCAGATAGTCAGACTGTGTGTGGCAAGAACTTTTCCCTGCTGAGCCATCTCCCTGGCCCATAATGTGTATTTTAAAGAGGCTGATTGGCAAAGCACCTGTCCATTCTTATGTGAAAGGTCCTTCCTGTGGGGCCTGCAGGGGGCTAATTGTGTAGGGTGGGCAAAGATTTGCTCACGTGATTGTACACAATTTACTTTCCTTTTTCATTGATTAAGGAAATTTACCAAAAGATGACATCAAAGACTGAGGGCGGCCAAGCTCCTGCTGACCCCAGACACTTTCTTCCTTTACTCTTTGGAACTCTAAAGTTTTACAATGTCAGAAGCGTGTCACCATGGTTGATCTTACGTAAGCCTCAGTCCTGGAATTTGAAAGATTCCATGAATCGTGTTTTGTTCTGAAGACTGGAGTGTAAGGGCCATTATTTTCAGAACTCAACCAGGCCAGGCCCATCTCTTTAGACTGGAGATGGGGAAGAAGGGATCTGGAGTGTGAGCCCTGTGAATTCAGATCTCAGCTCTGAACTCCCCTTGCTCTGTCATCAGGGATAAATTATGGAATCAAGACGGAGGCTCAGCGACATTAGAGGTGCCAGGGGCAGCAAGAGGGAAAGTATGCAAAGTGCCCTATTCCTTCTGAGAATCTCAGAGATGGTTCCCTGCACACCGCTTCCGGTATCATACCCGCCGTGCTTTGGCACATGCCCCATCCATAGGGTCCCCATTCTTCCTCACTCTCTTCCGTGATCCTAGCTAATGTTGGGGGAAGGAACAATTTTGCTCACCAGTGTGATGGATAAAGCAGGTCTCACTCGCATTAAAGAGCTGAGATAGCCTCAGGGAACTGTGGCAATGAACCAGGAAGAGAAGAGATGGAATTCTAAAGAAATTAGAAAAATATCTAATCATCTGATTGGTCAGAATTAGTCAAAGCAACCTAACAATTAAAGGGTTGGTAATCCAGGGAAACCAAGCTACAGAATATAGGGAGGAAATTGGGAATGGCATTTTCGAGACAGTGCGAAGGAAAGGTAAGAGTTAATGGTTGGTGGGAAATCTTTGAGGACAGAGTGGAAGGGCATGGTGCTAGGTGGCTGCGAGAAGAGTCTGGAGTCAGAGAGTGATGGTTGCATGTCATGCAGCGGTGTGACCTCAAGTTCATTGCTAAACTTCTCTGTGCTGCTTCCTCCCGTGTTAAATGGTGTGCAACCACTGTCACAATTCCCAATGTCTGCGCCATCCCAAACTCATGTGGAAATAGATGTGACAGTACTAAGAGGTGGGGGCTTTCAGAAGGGACTAGGCCATGAGGGTTCCAGCCTCATGAGCCAGGTGGGTGCAGCTAGGAAAAGGCGAGTCCAGCCCTCCCTTATCTCCCTCAACCCTTCCCCCTCTACCACGTGATGACAAGATAGCGGGGAGGGGGGGGTCATAGCAAAGTGCCGGCGTAGCAATACTGAACTCTAAGCCCGTGAGTTTGGGTTTGTTATAGGTTGCCCAGGGCCAGGCATTATGTGATAGCTGCAGAAGACAGGCTGAGACAAGCGCCAGCACAGAGGACTGGGTGGGAGAGCATGCGAAGCGGTGGGTCCCCTCGCTCTGCCTCGCTGGGGAGCGCAAAGTGGAGCGCACACGCGAACTGTAGTCCCACCATGGGCTTTGCTTAGTTTCCCCGCTATCTAGTGCAGCCCAGCCAGTCCCATCTTGACTGTTTTATGGACCGGAACTTGCTATGGTGGCCTGAAACTATACAAGTGAGCTGTGCCACCAGAGGGCACCTCTCTCCTAGGAAAAAGGTAGACGGCGTGGGCAGTGTCTGTAGTGCCCACTTGAAAACCTTTGCTTTACCCAGCTTAGGCCCTGGAAAATACTATGGAGGTTTTCATCTTTCAAGGACCTCGGTGGCCAAGAAAAAGCGCGACAGGAAGCAAGGGTGCATCCACTGACCCACAGAGTGCCCAGCAGGACAGGTTCCTTGAGGAGATGGAGTGCATAAAGTCACTAGGCCCAGTATTGTGTTTCCTCTCCTTTTAAGCAAAGTAGAACCGGGCCTCACACTCCCTTAATCCCACCCTCGGTGCTCTGCTCTCTGAACAACCTCCCTGCTCAACATTCCTGCTTCTGGTTGGCCCGTCACTGTGCAAACTTGAAGAGTAATGTCCTGACTTAGTTGTTTGAGATTTGGGAGGCAAGACAAATGGATGTAAACAAGCTCTTCAGAGTCACGTGCTTATGGCTAGTGTGTGGTAAAGCCTGGATACCCAGAGCCTGTGGTGGTTTGCTAGGCCCTCGACATGAAGAACAGAGCCTAACCACGGGATCAGACATTGCCCAGATCTTCAGCTGAGCCGGCGAAACTGCCTGGGGGTCCTGGGGCCTACTGTCAGCAGCCTTGCTCTAATGCTCTATAGATCAGTGACAGTATGGACGTCAGCCGCCCAGAAACCTGCGGGTAACCTACGGCAGGAGGGATCCAAAATGAGCGGAGGCAGAGGCCTCCTCTGCTAGGTGACTTTGCTCTGGAACTCCCCAGCGGCACTCCCTTCCACGTTTCCATCAGTGCTTCTGTCTAGACACCTCTGTCTAGACTTCCTTGCCTTTCTCTCCTCACCTCATGGCCTGAGGGCCCTTCCAACTTCTCTCTCTGCTCTCACTCTTTGCAGTCCAATAAATACCTTGAAAAGGCAAAGTTTCCCACCCCCGCGCCCCAGCCTGGTGTCTGACCACCAGTGGAGCTGTACTAACTCGCTGTTCTAGATCTAACTAGAGACTGTCACCATCACAAGCTAGAAGCAGGAAGGACAAGGACATAACTTTAGCTAGTTATGGTATTACAGGAAATGCGATGATTCAGGGGTGGGCTGTGGAGAAATCAGGGAGAGTCTTTCAGAGGAGGGCAGCCTTTCTCAGAGACATAATGGGAAATTGTGTTCCTAGAGAGGAAAGTTGGTGGAGTAACTCAAGGCAGATGAGCAGCCTCTGCGTTGTCACGGAAACCAGAGGCTAAGGATGCTGCTGGGGTGTTTGGGGGCCATAATGTGGGACACTGTGGAAGGGTGAGAATGACAGGCAGACAGAGGCCGGACTGACAAGGGCTTGGAATGCCTGGACTTCAGGTTAGGCTACTGGGTCACCTGCCTATGTTCTGAGCAGGCAGAAGGCCCAGGAGGTGATCCGGGTGGAAATGAGGGGCGACCGTTGTAGGTGGCAGACTACAGGCAGAATGGAGTAGTGCTGATGGCACACTGCGAGTTCCTGGCATAGTGACCACAGAGGTAGGGAGAAGGAAGAGTGTGTGGCAGAGGTTGCCAGAGGCTCCTGCATCCACCACTGCACTCCACAGTGGTGGAGATAACAACTTTAACCTGCAAGCGGAGAGGCAGAGGGCTTTCACTGAGGTAGTACAAAAAAAATCACCAGCCTGTGTTCTTATCCATCTTTCCCGGTTCCTAAAGCAACTGCCAGTCGAGGGTGGAGTCGTCAAAGCCTCCTGAAGCTGCATTTTGCCTCTGTTCCTATCCTCTTGAACTGATGTCCTTGTCCACAAAGGAGAACCTACCACCAAAATTGGGCCTGAGGAATTTGTTATATCCCGCGGTGAGGTTCTCAAAGCCAGGCAAGGAAAGCTTGTCACTTCTGCTGACCTCGACATTGAACTGGTTCCCCTGGATGCACGCCCTGGAAGGGAGAATTGCTTTTGTGGCTATGTCCAAAAATTGATGACTATAGTTAGACATGAATTTGATTGACATCCCCTGTGTGTGTGTGTGTATGTGCACGTGTACATGTTGTACACACACACACACACACACACACACACACACACACACACAGTGGCTTTCCTAAGGAGACATCTCTTACTTTCTAGCTATTGAGTTAGCCTTTCCATTTTCTTACCCACTTGCTATAGGTAAAAGTGTCATGATAATTTGGCTACCCTCAAAGCATCTTTTCTTTTTTATTGATTGATTGTGTGTGTTGTATGTGTATGCACAGGCGTGTGCACCTGTGCATCAAATGTCTTCCTCTGTTTCTCTCTTTCTATTCCTTTGAGGCAGGGTCTCTCCCTGAACTTGGGGCTCAAGAAATCCTCATAGATCTTCTTATCTCCTTCCCACTAGGCAGCTCCAAAATTTATTCGCAGTTGTGGGACTATGGTCCTTGTGGTTACACAGTAAGCATTGTTAACCACTGAGCCATTTCCCCAGCTTTCTTTCACCAAGAGTCTTATGAAAAACCCAAGTCAAAGAACAACCAAACAAACTAAACAAACAAACAAACAAACAAAAAACCCAAGTCCACTGGTCTGTGACCATTTCGGAAACTTCTGTTCTCTAAGATAGAATGAGCCACAGAAATGTCCCTGTTCTGGTGTTTCAGGGAGATGAAGGGACTGGGTTTTGGCTTGCCATAAGTTAAATAAAAACTGCTGCAAGCCCTTCTATCATGGCCATATCAGAGTAGCCCTCACTGGGCTGTTCCAGGGTAGCACAACTCACCTTTGAGAGAGGAGACTCAGACACACAAAGGCCAGGTAGAGGTTGTGGCTCATGTTGAAGGAGCTATTCACACACAGAGAGAGACCGAAGGAGGAATGACCTGGGGAGACAAGGAGCAAGGTGAGGGGACAGTCCAAAGGTTCACTTACCTCCAGTCCCACTGTCTTTGGGGGTCTCCAGACCTAGTATTTTCCCAGCATGCACGAGGAGCAGCCTCTTTGTACCTCTTTTCTTCTAGCACCGGCTCCTCGAGCGTCATCTGGGTACATTGTCATTTGGGAACTAATATTTTTAATCCACCCCAGATATAGGTAGAGTCCTTGTTTATACGGTGGTTTTTCAGAAGAACTAGTGCCCATAGTCTGGGCTGCACATTTGTCTGTATATTTGAGGAGCCCCAGGCTGTCCTTATTGTGTCCTTGTCCTGACCCCTCCAGCTCTACATTAATGCTGACCAAAGCAGACATTGTCCTATTTAGTTCAGGGCCCAGGTTGTGTTCTTGCCTAATCTTTCCCATCTGTATTGGGCAGGCCTATCCCTGTCTTATAATGAGGAAACAACTTTGTGGGAAAGCACACAGTACTTGTGAACTCCAGAGGTAAGTTTGAGCTGGAGCTGGCTGCCTCATCTCGTTCCTCCAAGACTAGCAACAGCTTATGCTTTCATTGGCCTGAAGACGCTCACCATCCTCCTCATCTCCCACACCCGATCACAGAGCTCTGAAGCTTCTCTGTGCCGGTGTTCGCAAGAGGGCTATTGGACAGCCTGCTCCAGAGGCCTCATTTCCTCGGGTGGGGGAGCTGCAGTCAGACATCTCTCAGAGGTCAGGGACAGCTAGTAAAGCAGCCTCGGACCTGCCATGCTGGTGACATGGCAGAGTGGTGGCCTCAAGTTCAGGCCCCTTCCCAGAGTGGGCTACCTACTTAGTGTTAACCGTGGTGAGCCTTCCCACTTTCTAGAACCTAAGCAATTTAGAACTGTGGGTCAGCGTCAGCTATTTGTTTATTAAATAACATGCTGTTTACCAAGCAGTATCCCCTTATTAGAGAAATGAAAATGGACAGAAGTTCACTGAGTCACAAGTGCATGTCGCAGCCTACGCCAGTGCAGATTTACAGTTTTATGAAGTTTGTTTTTGTTTTATGTGTAGGGGTGTTTTGCCTTCATGTGTGTCTATGCACCATGGGCACACAGTGCCTGTGGAGGCCAGAAGAAGGGATGGAATCATCTCGGAACTGGAGTTGGAGTTGACTGTTAGCTGTATGTGGGTGTTGGGAATGTAGCCCAGGACCTCTGGAAGAGCCGTCAGTGCTCTCAACCACTGAGCCCCACCTCAGCCCCAGTGCAGATTTATAGATGGGAACAGATGTGCCCCTTTGGTGAGGGATGTTGAGAGTCAGGGTAGTTGTTTATGTGTAGGAGGCTCAATCATACTATAAACCTAAAACTGCTATTTAAAAAAATAAAGTGGATTAAAAAAAACTATTTCAAAAAACCAAGGAAATATTTAGTCCCTCTGTTGTTTCTTCTTATTAGTCTTATACATCAGATGTCTCCATTATTAATTGTTTCTATCCCCACATATACCTATATTTACAAATGCACACATCGTTTTTGCATAAAAATTTAAAAGTGGAAATTGGGGTGCTTTTGTTCTTTTGATATTGTTTTTCCCCATAGAAGTGTAATAGCTGCTATCCATTGATTACTTACTACTAATTTGCCTGAGCTAAATAAGCACCTCTGCAGTCCTCACAGGTCTTTGAAGTAATTAAGATTAGTCTCACTTGCGAAGGAGTGATACAGCAAGTTAGGGTCAGCTTGAATGTAAATAACTGACCCAACTCCTTCCCTTAACCACAGCAGCATGAGACGTGCTTGTCTCTTTGTCAGCCACACCTTTCCATGACAGCTTCTGTAGCCCCGCCTCCCCAGCCCTTAAGATGCAAGGTGGCTCAAACCCTGAATGTACAAACATTGGCACACCATGTGTTCTACCTATGAATATCAAGTTATTTCCAAGTTTTTGCTGCTATAAAGTCGACACTGACTGCTTTGGCATAGATAAGTTCTTAGAGACTCTATCTTCTTCCTTTTCACAGTGGAATGTAGGAGGCTGGGGACAGGGGCTCTAAAGGCTGATAAAGGAGTGGAGGCTTGTTCGTGACCATTGGAACCTACTCCCTCATCAAAATTGCCAGCTATAAAAATCAAATGTTATTAAATTTCTGTGATGATATTCGTTCTTTCTCTAGTGTTTCTCTCTGGTTCCTATTTCTCTCCATGCTCCCGGTATCAAGTTTAAGAGGATCCATGGACTGGCTCACACACCTTCCAATGTCTTTATCGAACATTTTAAAGGGTGAATGGGCTCCTCTTACAAGCCAAACCCATGACCAGCAGAGGTCCTGCCTGGAGGGGATAGAGGTGCGCCAGCAGAAAACGTGCATGTCCATCAGAGGCGTGCAAGTTGTAAATCCTGTCCTGTCACTACCCACATCAGGAGTCCAGGCAGCAGAATGTCTGGTGTAACAAGAAAGTGAGTCACCGACTCCCCTCGAGGGGATGGTGCAGGGCCAGGGTGAGGATTGCAGACATTCATTTGATTCTGGCAGAGTGTGGACTTTGGAGACTGTGGCCTCTAGAAGCTGTTAAAGAAACGGAGGTTTGCCCATGACCACTGGAAACCACTTGAACTTGACCTTTTCCCCAAGCCCTTGGTATCTGCAGGTTTTTCCTAGTGTGGCCTGAACTGGCCCTGTTCTCATTTAGGGAGATTCTTCATTTGTTCCCCCTACCTTCTATAAGAAACCACCTTTGATCAAATATATCTGGGAACCAAGTAGTTGTTGGTTTCAAGCTTGCTTTGAAATAGCGATCTCCTAGTGGCCAGTCCTCTATTAGGAAGACAATATTTGCAGCACGGGCCTCTGAATCTTCTTCAAGGAATGACCAAGGCAGAGATCCTAGAACTGCGGCTACCCTTTCTTCAGAGGAATCAGGGGCCTAAGGCAGTGATTCTCAACCTGTGGGTTGTGACCCCTTTGGTAACCATCTATCTAAAAGATATTTACCTTACGGTCGTAACCATAAATTACAAAATTCAAAAACAGTTATAAAGTAGCGATGAAAATAATTTTACGGTTGGGGGTCCCCACAACATGAGGAACTGTATCAAAGGGTCACAGCCTTGAGTGTGTCTACATTCTGTCTGCTGGCTCTGCTAGGGGCTGAGCATGCCTCATTATAGAATGGAAGAGCAGTGACAAGCCACACGTGTCACCCAGTCATATCTGGTTCAGGAGAGGCGTCTCAGATTTATAACGAAATTTGTCTTAGATCACACTGCAATTAAGCGGGCACTGTTTGAACCAGCATTTCTCAAGTATTCAGTCTTTACCACGGTCACATGTGGCACCACTTTACTATCATGGTGTTCTGGAGGAGGGTGCACACCGCTGACACTTTTGCTCATGTCAACCTGACACAGAGAGCTCAGAATTCACTGAAAGAACCGAACCCAAGAAAACAGGAGTGAGTTGGAAGGAGGCTAGGGTGTGACACGCTTGGGCACACTTTAGGAGGAAGCAAGTCCCCAGTTCCCCAGACGGAATGGGATCACATGTGACTCTGCTCCTTACGTCAAACCCACTTTGGGGATGGGGTGCTGAAAGTCTAGTGGGGGATACTAGCCCACGTGGCTGATGAGCCAATCTTCGTGTTGCTCTGTGTGTCTTCTTGTCTTGGAGGAGGCTAAGGCCTTCCTCTTGAATACAGATACTGGAGCCTGCACTTAGAGGTGCTCATAGACCATTAGAGGGCAGCTGGAGCTTCTGAGCAGGGCCCCCTCCAGCCTTCATCAGTAGCACCCAGGAAGTGGGTGGGAGTTGCTTGAGTTGGGACAGCCTATGTACTCTTGCACTAACTGGACCTCTCTGGTTGAAACCTCATCTCCATTTGTAGAGGAGAGTCTGGGCCTTGGAGTTGGACAGAAGCTAGTCATAGCTAACTTCTCAGCCTCAGTTTTCTCACCTGACAAAGGGGGATGGACACAAATAATAAACCCTGCTTCCCATGCCCCTCTGTTCTATGTCTCCCATTGGAGATCTGGTAATATCGCCAGGATGAAAACAATGCCTGTCTGAAGCTCTTGCTTCCATCCGTGAAAGTGACCTGGTTGGCACCACTCAGGTGTCACCTGGGAGACCCATGACATTTTTTCTGGACTGGCTCTGAGAAGCAGAGATGAGACTGATGGGGATTCCCACCTCCATTCCATGAACACTGTGAAGCCCGAGTGTGTCACCCCTTAGCCTCCTCCACAATCACAGTGCTCCTTCTCCCTCAGTCACTTCAGCATGCTTAAGAGTCATGTGCAGGGAGGCATGCGTGAGGTAAGGAAAGGTCATAGTGTCCTGGGTCCTCCCCAAGAAAATCACTGTGCCTGTTGGTCTGGCCTGGCAGCAGAGAGGCAAACAATGGCAGCCTCAGTGCCAGGCAGGGGAAGCTCTAATCTGGGCCCCTCGCTTGTTCCTGGGTGGTTTTATTCCTTCCTGCACTCTAACAGAGAGTATCACACTGTAAGACCTGAGGCAGAGTTAGGGCTCAGAAAATTCCAGGTCTGCCTCTCCCTCCCCTATTCATCCCATCAGGACTCACATCTGGAGATCCTTCCTGCCCTCTCTCCCAGTACCAGGGGCAGCAGTTCACTTACCAGACAGCTGTTGCGGCTCTGTTATGGCAGGCGCTTCAGGATCCCAAGCAGGATTCTCATGCAAGGCATATTCTTTTGGGTCCACTGGGTCCTTTGTATCTCAACCCTGACCCCTTAGATGTAGGTGTGCATCCACTCTCTGATGGAGTGACTCTCTCTCTCTTTGGAGAAGACAGAGCTGCTGAACCAGGTATAGGTGGGCGGGGACTCCTCCAGCTCCTCCCTTGGTGGAACTCTGATTGGTCCTCAGTAGTTTGTGAGAATCAGCCAGCTCTTGCTACTGGATACCAGAAGTTTGATTCTGAGTTCACGTTTCAGCCATGATCCAAACCTCAGCTAAGAAAGACACCTGGAGAGATCAGTGGGTGCCCAACCCCTACACAAGCTCTGCTTTCAGAGGACAGCCCTCCATTATGGTGCAAAGGGATGGGAATTATTTGACTTGGGCATTCCACTTGATTCTGATTGCCAGGTTCACATCTGCAAAACAACTCAATTCATGTCTGAAAGCCATAGTCCTGGCTCTGACTGAGTTTGTTTGGAATTGACAGAGACTCGGGTCTGTGTTGATAGAGACTATCCAAACTGTCCAATTGCAAAGACACAAAATTACAAAAGATTGGGGAAGTGAAGCTCAGAAGAGGTGGGAGCCATTCTGGGGCTTTTTTCTCTCCCTTCCTGTCTCCCAAATCCTTACAGGGTATCCTTTAAGTCTCCAGCAAATTTGCTTAGAGAACTTGCAGAGACCACCGAGGTTTTCCTCTTCCAAGTCCAGCTGAGCTTGTGAACATGAATGTTTTCACACTGTTCCTCAGTTTCTCTCCATATTGTAGCCAATGGTCAAGGATATCGCTTTTGGATCTGTTCTCAAGGGAGAAATCTCTGGCAGTTGGTCTGGTACCCTCAGAGGGCTGGGAGCCAGAGGCAGGGGCAGGGGGAGAGCTGAGGTTGTAGCAGAATGTTCAGAGGTACCTTCTTCCTTCTTGTTAAAGTCAAGGTCACCCTGGGTCAACCTGCTCTGCAGACCCTGCCCAGCCTGGAGCTGAAAGTTAAGATAAACAGAGAGAGGGAGTAACGTTCACAGGGTGCAGGAGCTAGCTGAGCTGTGCTGCGGGAAGCAGAAGGAAGTGGGCAGGAGGGGCGGATCTTAGGGTACAATGTACCATAGATACCTTTGGCCCTTGACCAATTTGCTTAGCGCTCCTCTGGAGTCTGGCCAGTCCCCCAAATATCTCTGTGCTGGCAGGGAGGGAGTGGATGCTGAAGAGAAAGCCCTTTCACATCTCCAGGGTGACCCCACTTTCACCTGGCAGCCTTAAGGTGGCCAGAAAAGAATTGACTGAACAGGGATTTCAAGTTCTACCTGCATGACCCGTGGTTCTGGGGCTAATTCTCAGAACTTCTAAGAAGTTCTCACATAACCAGAGGCCTGAGAATCACAAAGACAGCTCAGAGCTGGGAGACATTGTGGGAGTGGGGGTAACTGGGAACAAGGGTTTGATGAAATAACCTGTCTGGCTAGTGTACAGCTTTGGGCCAGTTGCTTCATCTCTCTGGAGCTGCATCTTAGGTGGGAAGTAGGGTCCATCCTCGGGGTTGCAGGAAGAGCTGTTCAGCGACAACTGTGGCGCGGCATCGGAAAGTCTCGGGCTCTGAAGCCCTGGCGCATGCGCATGAGGTGCTCAGTAAACTCGTCTTCTCTGACCGGGCCTTCTCCGTTTGTGCTTGCCCTCTTTCGCCTTCTGTTTCTGTGGTAAACACCATGACCAAGAGCTACTTGGGGAGGAAAAGGTTTGTCTCTGTTTACAGATCACAGTCCACCATTGAGGGAAGCCAAAGCAGGAAGCGGGAACACGGACTTTGGAGGAGCAATGTTTACAAGCTTCTTCTCTAGCCTACCTAGCCCTTTTTGTATAGCCCAGGACCACCTGCCTAAGGAATAGATCTACCCACAGTGGGCTGGGTTCTCTCCCATCAGTCAATAATAACGACAGCTCCTCACAAACATATAGTCTGAGCAGTCCTTCAATTGATGTTCCTTCTTTCTAGGTGACTCTATGTTACATCAAATTGACAATAAACGCCATCCTGCTTAGCACTTAACCATTCAAGCTTACATCTACCCCTGCATCCCGTGTGTTGCTGTCTGTGTGTGTTTGTATGTATCTGTGGATGTAGCTTTAGCATCTTCCTGCTATCTGTTATCTAATCATTTATTATCTATCTGCTTATCGTCTGTCTAATGACCAATCTTCCAATCGGGTTGTTGATGCTTTCATTGCTTAGTTTTGCAGTGTATATGAAAATAATCAGCAAGTATATTAATGAACTGATTCTACCTGGGAGCCAAGGAAAATCCGGTTTGAAGTTAATAAAGTGGGCGTGATAAGATAAAATCTAATCTTCAGTTTCAAAAAAGTTTCAGCGTAGTGTAAACTTCACCTTGGGTTTCCTTTAGATTGACTGAAGAAATGGGTAGAGCTTGCAGGGAAATTACATTGATTTCCAGCGGTCCCAGACAGGCAACCTTGTTCCTGGGTCCCTAGAACCCTTGATAGCCACCTAGTTCTGACTGTGACCTCCAGTCTCAGGATCCCTGAGGTCAGTGGTATTTCAGGATGGCCAGCTATGCAGACTGACTGCTCACAGGTTCCAGTTCTCAGTACCCACCTCCCATTCCTCGAGGCCACACACCCTCCTAGAATGTGTCCCAGAAAAACAAAGGGCGGGGTGAGTCAGCCTGTATCTTGTGAACTTGGTACCCACATGCATTCAGAACACTGAGAACTCACCCGCATACCGTGCATTCGGATGGATCGCTGCTATTCTCAGGGCTTTCACTCCGCACACATCATCTTTCTTGAGTGGTGTCATAGTTTTGCGAGGCACGTGGGCCTTGTTTCCTTCTTTCAAATTACATTTTGATTCGTTTTGCGTGTGGGGGCAGGGTGGCATGTGTGTTACAGTGAGCGTGTGGAGGTAAGAGGACAACCTCTTTCCACCATGTGGGCTCCAGGAATTAAATTCAGACCATCATGCTTGGTAGCAAATGCCCTTACCCATTTAGCCATTTTGCCAGCCCTAATTTATTTCTTTATTCTCATTTTGTGGATCACAGCCACCCAGCTACGGACTGGGTAGAGACAGCCAGAACTGTCTGGAACTTGGTCTTTGGGGTTGAATCAACTGCATTATTAATATGCCGATTGCTCCTGCCAGCAATGGTTGAACTCAACAGTCACAGGTTTGCCCATCTCTATTACTTTCTCATCTCTATTATCAAACTGAGTGCTGTTTGAGGTTAGATATTACTAACTGGTATGTCTCTAATCCTGAAGTTAACCCCTTGGCCATATGTGAGTCATTAAGCTTAAGAATGGGGATGTATCTCAGTGGTAGAACATTTGCCTGGCAAGGCTCTGGGTTCAATTCCCAGTAGCACTGACCAACCATCCAACCAGTCAACCAACCAGTCTACAGAGCCAGTGAAGCAATGAATGAATGTAGTCAAGCTATGCAAGTGAACCTGGGCAATAGTAGAGTATTATTTGATATTTATAGTTTTGCCTAATTTATTTGCTTATTCCTTCCTTCTTTCCTCCCTCCTCCTCATCTCCCTCTACTTCTTACTTTTCTTCTCCCTTTTGATAATTCATTTGAACTCAGCCTTCGAGATGGTACCACTGAGCTATATAGCTACAACTAATTCTAATTAATAATAATGATTGTATATATGTATATATACATATATATGTATATATATATGCCTTTCTGTAAATACCTTCAGTACCAAACATAAATAATCTGAATCTATATACTTAAGGGACTAGAGAAAAAGAACCAGCGGGTGGTGAACTCACTTTTCATACCAATGCCACCAAATGCTGGCAAACCATGCGTGTTCCCCTGGGATCTGCCCAGGGTGTCTTTTTATTTCCTTCTGCACCACAGGCCTCAAAGATCACCCATAAACCCCAAATGTAATCTGTGAATCACAGGGCCAGGGAATGAAGGTGGGCTGTACCAACCTGGAAGCCCACTGAGTGGTTTTTGAGGGTGAACCCTCGAACCCTTGGCCGTGCCTCCCCAGAAAAGAGCTCTGTCCACCTGCTACACTAGGCTACACCAAGTTTAAACACTGACTCCCAAGTGCTTGCTGCGAGAAGCTCAACTCCATTCCGCTCACCGCTTCAGAATGACAGCCCGGCACCAAGCTTCCTATTTACTGTTTGTCTTTTGCTTAGATAGATTTTATTTTGTACATATGAGTACTTTTCCTGTATGTCTATCTGTGCACCATGTGTGTGTCTGGTGCCTGCAGAAGTCAGAGAGGGTGTTGGGTTCACTGGAACATGAGTTACTGATGACTGTGATCCACCATGTGAGTGCTGGGAATCGAACCTGGGTCCCCCGCAACAGTAATCAGTGCACTAAATCCCTGAGTCATCTCTCCAGCCCCAGGCTCCCGTTTCTTAAAAAGATAGGAATTTTGTTATTCTTTTTGCCTTGTCAACAAAAATTGAAATTCTCCTGTGTGTCAGATGTTCTTCTTAGGTCACAGCTGCAAAAGCATGGCTTCTGCTGAGTGCAGACAAACAGGTTATAAACATAGTAAATCCAGAGATGCAGTGTTGGGAAAGAACACACGCGGTGGAGAAATGTTAAGCTAATGAAGGGTGGGAGATGGGGGGTGGGGTGTTATGTTAGAGAGGCGGAAATCAGAATGTCTTTTTGAAGATGTGACATAATCGGGAGGCCCCCAAGGCATGGGTGGGGTCCTGCTTCTGTCTGCTTCTCCCAGTCTCTTCTCCTCCTGCCAGCAAGCTTTCTGAAACCCTCCCAGCAGAGCTCCTTCCTCCTTAAAGTCCTTTGATGGGTCATTTTCTTCTCTTTTATCTCGTGTGTGTGTGTGTGTGTGTGTGTGTGTGTGTGTGTGTGTGTGTGTATGAGTGCATGCATATCTGCATGTGTGTGTATGAGTGCATGCATATGTGCATGTGCATATGGGTGTGTATTGTGTGTGTGTGTGTGTGTGTGTGTGTGTTGGGGCCTGTAGCTATGAACACTTGCTGATTGCCTGCCCCTTCAAAGCTCCCCATCCCTCCTTTCTACATCTTTGCCTTCCTTCAACACACTGTTC